CTTGACAATGAGAGACTAGACTAGTGGAAGCACATGCACAAAGGAAAAGAGTTCAACAAAGTAAAAGATTCGGAACACGAACTTTACAAGGAGAGGTTAGACGAATGAAAAACACATGCATATGAAGGGAAGATCATCCGGATCATTACACTAAATATGAATAAGACAAAGAGTGATTAGACTAATGAAAAGCACATGCATATGAAGGGAAGACCAACCGGAACATCACACTTAATATGAACATGACAATGAGTGATTAGACTAATGAAAAACACATGCATATGAAGGGAAGATCAACCGCAACATCACACTAAGTATGAACAAGACAAAGAGATGCTAGACTAGATGGAAAGCACTTGCATATGAAGGGAAGATCAACCGGAACATCACACTAAGTACATTGAGTGACTAGACTAATGAGAAGCACATGCATGTGATGGGAAGCTAGTCCGGAACATCACACTAAGTATGAACGAGACAAAGAGTGATTAGACTAATGAAAAACACATGCATGTGAAGGGAAGATTAAGCGGAACATCACACTGAGTATGAACATGACAATGAGTGATTAGACTAATGAAAAAACACATGCATATGAAGGGAAGATTATCCAGATCATTACACTAAGTATGAACATTACAATGAGTGACTAGTCTAATGAAAAACTCATGCATGTGAAGAGAAGATCATCCAGAACATCACACCAAGTATGAAATGTACAATGAGTGACTAGACTAATGAAAAGCACATTCGTGTGATGGGAAGATCATCCAGAGCATCACACTAAGTATGAACAAGACAAAGAGTGATTAGACTAATGAAAAACAAATGCATATGAAGGGAAGACCAACCGGAACATCACACTAAGTATGAACATAACAATGAGTGATTAGACTAATGAAAAACACATTCATATGAAGGGAAGATCAACCGCAACATCACACTAAGTATGAACAAGACAAAGAGATGCTAGACTAGATGGAAAACACTTGCATATGAGGGAAAGATCAACCGGAACATCACACTAAGTATGAACAATACAATGAGTGACTAGACTAATGAAAAACACATGCATGTGAAGGGAAGCTCATACGGAACATCACACTAAGTATGAACAAGACAAAAAGTGATCAGACTAATGAAAAACACATGTATGTGAAGGGAAGATTAACCGGAACATCACACTAAGTATGAACATGACAATGAGTGATTATACTAATGAAAAACACATGCATGTGAAGGGAAGATCAACCGGAACATCACACTAAGTATGAACAAGACAAAGAGATGCTAGACTAGATGGAAAGCATTTGCATATGAAGGGAAAGATCATCCGGAACATCACACCAAGGATGAACAAAACAAAGAGATGCTGGACTAGATAGAAAACATTTGCATATGGAGGGAAAGGTCATTCGGAACATCACACCAAGTATGAACAAGACAAGGAGATGCTAGACTAATGAATAACATATGCATATGAAGGGAAAGATCATCCGAAACATCACACCAAGTATGAACAAGACAAAGAGATGCTAGACTAATAAAAAACACATGTACATGGAGGGAAGAACATCCGGAACATCACACCAAGTATGAACAAGACAAAGAGATACTAGAACTAGATGGAAATCGCATGCACACAGGGGGAAGATCATCGGGAACATTACACCAAGTAGGAGCAAGTCAAAGAGATGCTAGACTAATGAAAAGCACATGTACATGAGGGGAAGATCATCCGGAA